GAAGACCACTGTGGAAGAACCGATGGCGCATGTTTGAAAGTTAATTTCCTTCATTCGCGCATACTCACACGCACATAGACGGTCACATACACACACACACACACTCATTCACCTTAGACCCATAATCGGGATATAAAAGTATGCGCTTTTTCTCTCTCACATTTTATTTACTTATCACTTTTCATCTTACATTTGGCTTTACAGGCCATCGCATGACATTGTCTCTCTGTCGTTCGCTTTTGAACAAAAAAGTCATAATTCTTTTATTGTTTCAAGTCATTTATTTTGCCTGTATTGGTTCGTATAGAAATTTTTGTATCTCTCTAGTTTCGGTTCCTTGCAGTTTGTATAGTCGTGATTTTCGTATATTGTACTTATTTCTACCTTACCTTTTTTTCTTCTCTCCCATGCGTCAAACATGTATTGGTATCTCTTGCCGAACATTTTTCACTTCGGGATTATCCGTGCACGCGAGCTCCTGTTGTTATTTTTCTCTCTGTCTCCCTCTTCCTTTGTTCATTTCAATCTCACACACGTATTCACATTTGCACTTATGCCTTCACTCACACATATGCAAACCATCACAAGCACAGCACATACATTCATGTAACGAACCGAATACACACACACACACACACGAACCGAAGTGGTATGCGCTTGGAGCTTAAGCTTACGAGCCGAGTGAATGCAAACATTGTCATGTGATTTTCAAAGCAATGCAATAAAAAGAGAACGACATACATATTGACAGTCGAAGTGCATATGAGCGAGACAAGTGCTCTGTGAATGGCAGATGAATAAGAGGGTAGAAAGACATGCACAGGCAGAAAAAGAAATGCACACATAAACAAATAAAGAGAGGAGCAAAGTATAAAAAAAGGTGAAAGACAAACAGAACCAAGAAGTCTAGTAAAACCAATTTTCAGTTTGAATTTATAATTCAGTTGTTGAAGACGTTGTCTAAACGTGAACGGAAATTTTTCACACACATAAATACAAAATTTTATTAAGTGAACTTCGGAACGAAGATTAATTTTCTTTTAATTTAATTTTTTTTTTTATTACGAAAATATTTTTCGACGATTTTTCGACGCAAAATACAAAAATTGAAATAAAAAAAAACCAGCATCGAATTTCTACGAATTTTTGAAAGAAAATGAACTGAAGTGAAATTTTACGGAAAAAAACAAATAATTATGAATTTTCATGGTTTTATTCAAATCGCTAAAACGACTCAATGAAAATAGTTAGAGAGTTATGTGAATTGTGCAGAAGAAAGAACTGTCTCTATAAAAAGAAAAGTGAAATTGTTGAGAGTGAAATTCAAAAGAAAAATCCACAACATTTAACGGGAATAAAATAGTTTTCATTTTTGTACATTTTTAAAGGTAAGGAGACATTTTGGCCGACATCTTTTTTTTTTTTGAATCGACTTTGACCAATTTTAGTCAAAGCAGTTTTCGTTATGAATGAATTTTTCAAATTTGAATAGTACTCTCCAATTCATTCACAGCAACATCAGTCTATATAGTAGTCTCTATCTACACTTCCAATCAATAGTAAATTAAATTGAAATAAAATCAATCAACCAAAAAAAATCGTTCGCATTCATCTTTCTGCACATTCCAAGTGTTTTTTACGCAATTTTTTTGCACCGATTTTATTCAGAAATGCACTTTGTTGATTGTGCCCCGAAATCGTACTTCGAAGAACTTCATTTGGTTTATCAGTAATATTTATCGGTTGATTGTACTTGTGTTTATCTGATCACAGCGGTGCTTTAATTGCTTTTTTACGCATACATTTTCTATGTGGCATTTAAACTCTATTTCACATTGTGTTTTCTCGATAATCATTTAAAATGTTTCTTAAGAAGTAAGAGTAATTACCGAATTTATAAAATAGATTTTGTGCAAATGAACATTGAATTCCAAAAACTACTTTTGGCCGAAAATTCCCAATGCATTGTATGCATATCAGCATATCACTTTCTTTTATCTTTAAAAAAATGCTACACTTGTTCGACGATTTATCTATTGTTTGCGGGATTGTTAAAAAAAACTAATTCTTACAATTAATGGTTATTTAGAGCATTAGAAACATTGGTATTTAGTCGGCTTTTCATATGTTTTGGATTAAAAATGGTTTCATAGGAGTATTACTTTTTTGTCAACGAGTCGAACATTTTTTTCTGAATGCTCTGCATACTCTCTCTCTCTAATTCTTTTTTCCTCTCTCTTTCTCCCTATCTATCTCTGAAATAGTTCTGCACACTTGAAATCAATTTGAAAAAAAATAATCGCAAACATAATAAATATGATTATGGTTTATGTGTTTGATTGATGCGACATTATATGCACGATCGGATCTAGTGTAATCACTTCACTTGTTTCTCTCATTTCATTTCCATTCTCGCGTAATTCACTTTTCTGTGCGGTTTTTTTGTTTTGTTGATAAAACAAAAAAAAAATGATTGCCGACACTATAATTGTAACGGAAAATGCAATTAATCTTTGTAAAGATCGCTTTTCTAACTCTTACATTGTGCTCGGTAATGTTTATGTGAATGCATTGAATGTGCTGAAATTATAATCTATGTTCAAAACGTTTCTGCCGCAAAAGGAAATCAACATCAATGCGATTGTCCTCATGCTAGAATTTCGCCAAAACCAGAAAATGCGAAGCGTGCATTCATTCACGCACACAATTGATTGTCTGTTGTGCTATGTGTAGTTGCTTCTTTTCGCCGACATGTTTATTTTCTCCAGCTACAAAATTGGCAGTAATCATAATTATCATGTGTGAGGTATCGAACTAAATGCAATAAATGTGATAAATATGATTTTGTTCCGTACACACCGTGCTCAACAAATATCTCACTATCTATCTGCCATATGTGGTTCATGCGCTTAAGCGAGCAACCATTTAAGGAATTTTACTAGTGCAAAACATAGCAATTTGTGAATGAATGCTCGTTTCAAGCAGAGCACATTGCAATTTGTGTGATTTCATCCGCACATTATATGAAGAAAAAAAATATACACACGAGAGAATGATGCACGGGATGCTGCATAACATAATATAAGCGTTTGCATTCAGTTATGTTGTTGCATGCAACATGATTGAACGCGCGCACTTGGTTCATATTTCCACACTTGCCATGTCCGTCTTCCATCCGGGATTTTTCCTCCCTGTCTCTGTCTCCGCTCCTCAATCTCCTTTAAATTGGACTAATACAATGTGCAATTGAACAAATGATGGAAAATTATAAACCTATTTAAGACGGTTAAACATTATTGCTTTTAAATTATAGTTATTTCATCGGGAGATTTCAAATAGTTTCGGCTTTTTGTCTTTCCTCTCTGTTATTTTTTTATATGTACATACTGTTGTTGTTTTTTATTATCATTTCACAATCACAACTGGTGATTGCTTGTGTGTGCTTGATCTTGAAATGCCGACTTTACAAAGCAGATTGTGGATTGAAATAGGAACAAAAAACACACACACACACTGCTTGAAAATTGAAGATATTGATAAAGAAACAATCTTTAAATTCATCAATTCACATGACGGCATGGCTAAAGACAGAAAGAAGATGAGGGAAAAAACAACAAAGTTACACCAACCGATCAGCAAGACGAAATATAAAAATAGAATAGAGATAGAAAAAGATCCGAGAGATAAAGCGAAAAAAAAACAGCAAATATGCACAACCATAGTGTGTCGGTTTATATGTACATTTTTTGACAAAGAACAACTTCAAGGCGGGAATCAGCAGCAACAACAACAGCATAATGTATACGGCAGGCGCAAAAGGCAACATCATCAATATTTACAAAACTACCTGTTTTATTTTCTCATTTGGTTTTCTATTTTTTTTTCATTTCCTTCTTCTTCAATCCTCGTTATTACACACCGTCACACTATTGTGTATTGAAAGGCAACAAAACAAAATAACAACAACAAAATATATTCAATTCGTGTGTTCCTTTTCTAACATGTCAATGTGCGTTTGGTCTTTGTATTAACAGCATTAACTGTTGTTACGGGTGATCGTAAATTAACAATGTCCGTCCACTTCACACTGAAGCACACACACCACACATTCCAATATGTTTTACACGTGAAATTGCAGTTTTTTTCGTTCTTGCTGTTTGTGTGTTTTTTTTTTTTTGCTTTGCTTTGTTTTATATCATACCGTATTAGGTGACGATTCAAACATCACAAAAATAACAAACTCTACATGCATGTATATATTGTATGTACGGTATGATAATAATAATAATGGTTCTCGGAATAAATTATACTATGCAAATTTTACCATTGTCATAACACCGAATTGAGGATTACGAATAATGGTAAAAATGCTTCATCTCTTGCAAGATCCTTATGAAGAGGCTTGAAAAGCCAACCAAAACAAAAATACCATTTACAATGGAGCTATAAAATTAGTAACAAGTTCATCTTGCAAACAAAACAAGTAACTCAACGATATACAGTGCATCCTTTTCACACATATGCATGTTGTACGCATCCAACGCACTCTTAGTAGCACACTAATTCCTTTTCAAATAGAGAATGTACATGAGAAAGACAGAGTGAGAGAGAGAGACAGAGAAGTAAAATGAACAAACAAAATGAAAAGAAATACATCGACAATAACAAAAAGAATGTAGCAAAGAATAAATGAAAAAAAGGTCTTTTTTGGTTTGTTACAAAGTCTTAAAAACCTGCACCGACTATATGCTGTAAAAGATGCTGGGTTTCTTAATAAAAAAATAGCTTATTTTCCATTACACTGTAGTAGTTTTTTTGTAGTGTTTGGGCCTACTCAATTTTTTTTTGTATTCAAGTGAAACACACAGATTATATGTAGATATTCGCGATTTGCAAAACATACCATATTGTTTTTTTGTTCATTCATTGTTTTTTACCTAATGTATGTAAATTTTGCAAAAAAAATTAAAGTTCAGTATTTTTGTTTCTATTCATTACAGAGGTGCAAGCGATCATGCAGGCGTATATATATCTAATCGTTTTGCTAGTGACTTTACAGTGTTCTGTACGGGCCGCTGGCTCAGATACAATCACAACAACAGAAACTCCTATACACACAACGGATAGTGTAACACAGCAAACAGAGATCACCACTTCACCTACACATTTAGACAATAATTTAATAGATAGTGATAGTAAACAAATAAATGAAAATGAGGCGATCGAGCCGCATTTCATCGAAACAGCATCAACGGAAGAGTCAACGGCGCCAGAATCAAAGCCAACACCAGTGATGGATCATGAAACACAAATCAAAGTTGAAAAGAATTTGCTCACATTATTCGGACGATCAAAACGGCCCAAACCAATTGATCGAACAAAAGTTGTCGTACCGGAAAATATGAAAAAACTGTACGCCGAATTGATGGGCGACGATGAACGCGAATCGGTAAATTTACCAAGACCAGGATTATACACAAAATCAGCAAATACTTTACGATCTTTTACACATGAAGGTATGTAGAACGATATCATAATAATAAAAGTAAAAGTATAGTCGAAAACATCACACATTTCATAAGAAAAAATTCCGTACCGTATACACATCTCATATGACGTTCGCGTAGAAAATAAAAATACTTATCGATTTGTGTCTGTCGTAAAAATAACAACTGTTTCGTGTGCTTGAATGAATTATAAATTGAATTGGACCCGAGAAAATACTGATTACTTAAGATTATAATTTATTTATATAAAAAAAGACGTCCCAATCTCGTTTTATCGGATAAGATAGAGCAAAAGATGTGCATTAAATTGTCATTAACGTGTTGTGCTGTTTCTTTTGTGAATGGATTTGCCATATTATTTTTGATTTTTATTATTATTTTTTTCATTCGATGGGCATATAAATATCAAAAGCAAAAAAAAATAGAAAGAAATAATATCACAAATTCCTTAATTCCTTTGTCCACTTTATCCGCGAATAATGATGCATAATGATGAGCAATAAAAATAACTTTATACCATAAATCACAATATAATACTACTTACTGTCAAAATAAAAACAACATCGAATAAGGCGTGTAAATTTTATTGATGAATCTTGCGAATTGTGTTCCGGTTTGACTATCCACCGTACGATGCAAATATAAACAACTTATCGGAGTGCTCATTAGATAAAATATAAATCTGCGCGCAATCGACTTATGAGATGTGTATGTGTTGGTATCTGCGGTTTTTTTTTACATTTCAAATTCAACTGACACACTATGATAATTTTCTACGAAATATACTAATGTTCGAATATTGTTCTTTTTCCCTCCCCCTCCCGTTTTTAGAAAGTAAAATTGACGAAAAATTTGTGCATCATCATCGTTTTCGGTTCTATTTCAATGTGACCTCGATACCGAAAAGTGAAACATTAAAAGCGGCCGAATTGGAAATTCAACGTGATCCAATTGCGGATGAAAAGAATTTACAGCAAAAAGTGCTCGTCTATGATATTGTGCGGCCGGGTATTAAGGGTAAAACTGAACCGCTATTACATCTCATCGATACAAAAACGGTTCAAATCAATGGATCAAATGCAATTAGTTTGGATGTAAAATATGCGGTCGATCGATGGTTAGCAAATCCAAATGAAAATTATGGCATTTTGGTAGAAGTGGTGGTTGGTCGTCAACAATTACCGCCAGCACAGCGTCACATTCGATTACGAAGGAGCGTCGACGATTCGGATGATAAGTGGTCAAAAGTGCAACCATATTTGATGACATATTTGGATGATGGCCGTTATGATCAGCGTGTTATTAATCGCGTGAGACGCAAACCAGGTTCATCACGACGAAACCATAAGCGACGCGAAGGACGTGAATTATGCCAACGTAAACCGCTTTACGTTGATTTCAGTAATGTTGGCTGGAGCGATTGGATTGTAGCGCCAGCCGGTTATGATGCATATTATTGTCATGGTGAATGTCATTTTCCATTTGCCGATCATTTGAATACAACAAATCATGCGGTCGTACAAACACTTGTGAATTCAATAAACAGCGATTTAGCGCCAAAAGCTTGTTGCATACCAACACAATTAAAACCGATATCAATGTTATATTTGGATGATCAAAATAAAGTCGTTCTAAAAAGTTACCAAGATATGGAAGTTGTTGGTTGCGGATGCCGGTGAAATAAAAGAAAAAAAAAACCGGCCAAAATCATCATTGATCAAATTGCAAAAAAAGAATAAGCATATCGAACTGAAAAAAAAAACAATAAGATTTAAATTAAACCAAATTCTCAATTGAATTTGATCACATTTCAAATGGGACTTTTATTGTTTTTTTTTGCATCGAACGAACGAACCGAACCGAACCATCCATCATCATCATTTCACTCTGACTTATTGAACTGAGACATTATCACTAGTTGATATTCGCACATTTCTCACAATTCACTCGCGTTTGTATGCATATTTTTAGTGCGTCTAACGTTCATGAAAAACAAAATACCGGCCATAAAACAAACGTGATACCATTTTTTAAATATATATGGAATAAACGTTGGCAATCCGATTGAATTGTGCGAATTCAAATCTCTTGTTCATAAAACACACTCCAACCGGCATAACAATAATGACATTTTGATATTTATATATTTTGTATAAATTGAATCTTAATTGTTATTAAAACCACCGAATCAGTTAATGCTCAAAGTTAAATTAACCAAGTGAATTGAACTGATTTCGTATTGAAAAGAGTGATGGAAGATAAGATTGGAAGAACGAAATCGTAGCTCGTTTGTATCGCTTAATAATGTCGCTAAATAAAATACGCAATCTAAGATGAATAATAACAACAACAACAAATAACAACCACGAAATTGAACGACATAAAAATGACCCGCGTCTACCGTGTAGCTTTATAACCAAATCGGCTCAGCCAAATAAATGATTAATTTTAGTTTGTAGCACATTTAAAGAAGAAGAAGAAAAAAAATGAAAATAAATTACGAAATGCTCACGAGCATTGGAATCATTGTAAATTTCGAATCGATGTTATAGATACTGAGTCATTTCAATAAACATTTCAAAGAAATTCATATTAATCTAGCACACACAGAGAGAGAGAGCACAATGTGAAACGAACTCTTTTGAATACTCGATTTACCGGCTTGAGAGGGTGGCATCGCGCGGTTATTTAATTCATTGGTTTCTATTCAATTGGCAAAGTCCCTATTTACATTATCATTTTAATTGTGATTAAAAAAACAATGAAAACAACGCGATGCACTCTCTTTACCTTCCCCCCATCCAAAATTGTAATGTAAAATATAGAGTAAAGAAAGCAAACAAAAATATTGAATAAAATGCATTTGGATTAATAGCAACCATCGTAATGTTATGATTTTGATCGATATTATACTGTAAATAAAGAATTGTTCATGATTTTGTTTCGAATTTTGTTCGAACCTTTTTTTACGATTTAAATCTCATTGAATACGGAAATTTTGATTGTTCGGAAAATTAAAAAAAAAAATAAATGAATTTGTGTTCATTGAGATCCACATAGAGCTTATGAATCAAAATGTGAGAGTTTAAATTGCGGTATGATAGTTCCAGTGTGTGTATGTAAATATTATATTCAATCTAGAATCGCTCTGTAATATGATTTAGCTAAACTGTAGGAACGAAAGAAAAATTTCCATATAAAAAAAATCATGTGCATTAGATGTATAGTCCTTCAAAATATGCAATAAAATAATTGAAATAATGCTAAGAATATTCATTTATAGATTATTTGAAGAAATACAGACAAAAATCGCCCATTCAACAACAATAAATAATCTTTCGAAATGATTCCAAGAAATAGAAATAAATTTATAAAAATTGAAAATGTCAACCATCAAATTATATGAGATTAAGACAAATAATAGATGCAAGTATTGTAAAATGTATAGAAATAAGATGATAATAAAAAAAACATGTTATTATATATACACAAATAAGGACATATTTATTTCATTAAAAAATTCTGTATCAAAATCTAAGTGAAATAATTGGCGTTTTTCTTACTCTTTTTCACTCAAAAATTAACGGAATTTCAGCATTGAAGCGAAAGGCAAGGGTAAGAGTTCAGGAGAACATAAACCAGAAAGAAGGTATGGTATTGTACAAATTTGCAATAACTCCAAAGCCATAACAGTAATACACACATCAGCAAGAGTTGCAAAGGGCCGGAAAAATCAACAGCAAATAAAAGCATCGAATGGCCGCCCATGAAGCATTTTTTTATCGAACGTATTTTCGTAGACATAGCGACCATTAGTTGTCCTGCTTCAAAATCATACGCGTGCGATGTGTTCAGACTTCAGAGTTCTTTTCCACACGCGCATCCATTGGGATATTTCTTTTGTGCTTGTTGTTCTTTGCTTATATGATCAAAATGATGATGATGATGATGATGAGAAGAATCAAAGTTGTGCGCTAAATTTTTAAAGCAAAACCGTCTTAATCTTTGGCTCGCACGATAGTTGAGTGCATGTGTGTATTGTAGGTATGATGGTGGTCGTTTCGTGCACACAATCCACGATCCACAGGTCATCCGCTTTCACGATTCAAATTGATCCAAAATGCAACAATATTTTTTAAGAGCAAAAGTTATATATTGAAATATTATGTTAATAGGAGCCATATCAAGAACATTTCATGTTCGTTCTCTCTCTCTCTCTCTCTCTATCTTTCCGTTCTTTCTTCATTGACTCATATTTATCTGTACAGTGTACACTTTGCCGAATTGCTGTGATTCACCGTTCATGCGATAAGTAATGTTGAAAAATACGATGATTTATATTTGATAAATGATCGTAATTCAGTTGAATTTATGTCCGCGATGAAATCCTTTGTACACGATTAGTCTGAATAAACACACACACAATCAACGATTATTATTAGCATTCTCTTGGTATCCATTTAGTGAATGGACACTTATATCATTTGGAAGACAGGAACCGGTCGTACAATGAGAGGGTGGTCTATGATTCATTTGATAGTAAATGAAACTACTGTCACTGTATATGACAAAGATCAATTAAATTATTTATTAAATCTGGTAAATAAACAGAATTTCAAAATACCATAGATTTGGGATATTTCTGTTAAATCGAAAGACGAAAATCAATGGTATGATGACATTCAATTTATTGGCCAAATGAGATATGACGTACTTGGAATAATGGTCCATTGGTTAGAGTTGAGAATAGTATCAATCGCATTTCTACAACGTTTTGAATGTGCGCATGTATGTCATTTATTAGTTTATTAACGGATTTTAAGTCTACAAGCTGAGAAGATTTTTTCATTCATCTTCATTTGATTTGCTTTGAATTGTGATTTTTTTTCGAAATAATTCAAACAAAATAAAAGGTGGTGTATAATTCATTATGTGTTAATTATAAATCAATATTACATAAAAGATTAACGAATGTGTTGATAAGGATCAATTGATGGTGACAAATATTTGTGATTAAAAGACGCCATTAAATTAGTTTCAGTTACACCGACAAGATTGTTTAGTATTTACTATTCATTTCAACCTCAAATCCTATAATACAATCGACGAATATCAAATTGAGTTATTTGAGCATCTTTTTTTGTTCCTTTTGACTGAACAGACACACCACCACATATTTTCAACGAATAAAGCATTTGATGTCAAATCTTGTTCGACCAGAAGCACTCGATTAACCACAATCGGACAGACACAAAACATCAAAATGTTTTCGATTACTACGACGAAATTTGAGCGCTCACTGCATGAAATCAGAAAGAAAGAGAAATCAAAACAGAAAAAAAAATGTTTCACGGCTTGCTTATAAAGTCATTTTTGTGTTTCATTTTCGTTACAGGCTACTCTTCGTCTGTTTCTATTCGAGATCAAATATTTCCGATTAGCAATTTACCTCTTTTAAAACGAGATTTCGTGTGTGTAACTTACAAAGAATAAAAAACCAACCGAGCAGGAGAGAACATTTCAAAGCAAAGAAACAGATAAAAAAAACGAAAAGAAAATCAAATTCATTCTCATATAATTATAACAAATATAAAAAGGATAAACATCTTTATATAAATACACGCGAAGCGAAATCTGGAAAGTGTGTGCGTGCATGTGTGTTTTTTTCGTTTGTTTCTATTTAATTTATACGAAATATGATGAAGAGATTGAATGAACGCGCAGTTGGTTACTGGTTTGTTGCGCGTATCTTTTCGTTTCGATATATATATATAATTTACAATCTTGAGAGATTCGCGTAGCGGCCTAAAAAAGTAGAAGGAACGGTCACATCACGGGGATAAAAGGCAATCGTTGTTTCTGTGTGTGTTTTGTTTTATTTTCTCGCTGACTGTCTCTCTCGCGCCCCCATTTGGTATTCGGTTTGTTGTTTCGGTCGCTGTGTGTGTGGCTATGCCATTGGGCACAAAAATTGAAACGAATTCAAACGAAGCGGTCACATGAAAATGCCAGGAAGGAGTACTCCATTCTCTACACTCTGATGATTAAATTTCCAGCTCTCTCGCTGTTTTTATACATTTCTGTGCGAACCAAAAATAACTAGCTGACGTAAAGAAAAAAAAATTCGATCACAAGGAAACCAAATCTCATACAAACGAATTCGATTTTATTTGATGTGAAATAACCTGTGAAATTATGCTATTAACAGCATGAAAAACCACCATCCAAACACAAAGACTGGTTATTGGCTCTCTTTCATTCATTCTCATCAAATATAGCAAAAGAAGAACATTGACATGTTCGTTTAAGTTACTATACCTCTAAAAACATACGATCTGTATAGAGTCCACAATGTCTGGTTAAAAATGTTCGTGAATTTAGTCGACTTTTACTTTGCCATCATGCCCAAAAGGGAAAAGTATTGGATTTATTTGGCAAATTACGTCTTCACCGAATATCATAACATAGAACTAGCCGGCATACTGGTGTTCGTAATGTGGCGGCTGGAGAACGAGAGTAAAACGTTCCACTACATCGATAAACTCCATTCTTTCACTCATAAAAAAATCTTTATGTCAATAATTAGTGCTGATGTCTACGCACGGAAACTAAATATTTTCCTAAAAAAAAACAAATTGCGTTGAGAACAAGTGTTGACTACGAACAGACATAGAAATCGACTGTCAAAGTACTTACGAAACGTTTATAAGAAATCTGTATAATTCAGTGTATTTTGACCAATATAGTTTCTCTATAACAATTCCACACAAACTGTATATGTAAATTTCTTATAAACGTCAATTTTCTTTGGGATGTGTAAGTATTTTGACAGATGATTTCGATGTGTGAATGTAATTCAGTTTTTTAAAATTCATTTTACATTTTTTGTTCGTACGTGTGTTGCTGTTGTTTTTTTTGCACAGCTATATGGTATGGTCATTCGCTCATTTTGCATGATGAGTTTATTTAGTGATTTTTTTGCTTTGGTTTGCTGTGCTCTGCCTCTCTCACTCTCGTCTTTTACCTTTTGTGTGTTGATTTTGTTGAAATGCAATAACTTTGACGTTAACATAAGCATGCGGCATACAAAAAGCCATGCAGCTAAATGCATGTTTGCTTAATCGTGATTTAGACACAGTGTGCTCTTAGGAATGTTGTGAAACTAAAGGAAGATGTTGATGTCGTTTATGCGGTTGCTGAATGAACAAACCGAATGGGAAAAAAATATATATGCGCACAACTAACATGAAAGCAAAGAAAACTGAACCACCCGTGTGCAAATAATTCTATGTAACATGAAATTGTATTGGGTTGCGATATTTTTTTCTTTTTATTTAGAGTTGATGCAGTAGAAGATACAACAGTGTGAGAGTCTATATACAGTAAAAAAAAGATAGGACAATAAGTATCAGTGGTGAGACGGATTTGAGTGTTTGTTTGGTAACCATCATTTTTAAGGCAATAAAGAATGTTTACAATTGGCAATATTCGGACGAAATCACGATTAATCTAACAATGATCAATATTTGGAAATGAAGGGCCCTCTTCCATACAACCTATTGTTTAACTCATCAATAACCATATACTTTAGTTACAACAAGCACTTGGTTCGTTCATATAACGTTTAACAGTGAAAAAGAGGAAGAGAGAAAGAGAAATACTACAATAAGTATCAGCGCATGATAATCAGTTGCCAAAAAGCATTGATACGGATGTTACCGATTCAAATACTAATGTAATCGAAAATATACCGAAATCGAAACGATGCAAAAAATATCGCGAGCAAAACCAGTAAGAACAATAAATTCAGCAGCAGCAGCGGTGGCGGCGGCCGCATCAACTGCGGGAAACCCACCCAGGTGTACAGTAATTTATTTTTCAACGCATAAAATAGTAGAGAGAATCGTTCTTGTCTTTAGTAATATTTATCGCTTCGACTGTTTCTCGTTGAGATGTAGATTTTTTTTTCTTCATTCCTCGCTTCTCTCTTTTTATGCATTACCGTATAA